GCCTGGAGCCTGTTTCCGATTCTGTGTCTCCCTCTCTCTCTGCCCCTCCCCCGTTCATGCTCTGTCTCTCTCTGTCCCAAAAATAAATAAACGTTGAAAAAAAAAGTGGAAAAAAAAATAAAAATGAGAATGCTTGAAATTAAGATTATGGCTAATTAAGATTATTCATTTATTGGTTATGACAAGGTCCACCAGGGTATGACCACAGGAATTAATGGCTAGGGTAGAGCAGACAACAAGATTGTGGTAGGAGAGATCAAGAGACTGAGCTGCAAAGGTACTGGATGGATCATCTAAGTGGCTATTAAAACCATCAAGAATTAGAGAAAGGGAAGAGCTAATGAGGGACAGTAAGCTGGGAGCTAAACCCCACAAGCAACAAGGTGGTATTGCCCAGGAGTAGGTAGTGGGTGGTCCTGAGATGGTGGGTAGGTCTTATGACATTAGAGTCAAACTTGGAGAGTTTTTTAGGGAGGAGGGTGGGTGAATGGTTCAGATTCGACAATGAAGAGCAAGGAGTATGTTTATACCCCTCTAGGACGAGTGGTACAGGTCTGCGGAGGAAAAAAGTCACCTCATTTTTATGTCTTTTAGTAACTTGAAAAGTTTTCATCATGTAGATCTTGAACACTCCTTGTTTGTTTATTCCAATGTTTATTATTGTTGTGTTTCAATTGTATACAGGATCTTTCTTTTAAATATATATTTTTTTAACATCTGCTTAATTTTGAGGGAGAAAGACAGAGTGTGAGTGGGGCAGGGGCGGAGAGAGAGGGAGACACAGAACCCAAAGCAGGCTCCAGGTTCTGAGCTGTCAGCATAGAGCCCGAGTCAGGATTCGAACCCACAAGCCACACAAGCCACATGAGCCGTGAGATCATGACCTGAGCCAAAGTCCGCTCAACTGACTGAGCCACCCAGGCGCCCCAATTCAGGATCTTTCTTTTGAACTCTTTCTAACTTCTTCATATCCCCCTTAACTCTGAACCCCAGGATGCTTGGGTGGGTCAGTCCATTAAGCATCTGACTCAATTTCAGCTCAGGTCATGATTTCACGGTTTGTCAGTTCAAGCCCCATGTCAGGGATTCCACACTGACAGTGAAGAGCCTGCTTGGGATTCATTCTCTCTCTCTCTCTCTCTCAAAATTAATAAACTTTAAAAAAAAACCTCTGAAACCCAAGGTGAGCATGCCAATGCCTTGAGTTTTTGAGAGGCATTTCATCAGTTCTGTACCTCCTGCCCATCTCCAGTGCCATGGCCTCACTATCTCTCATTCTGACAATTGCAAACGAACTCCCTGCATCTACTCTCCCAGTGAGAGTCCATTATCCACACTGCTGCTTAGGGGAGTTGTCCTATAGTTGTTCAACCCCCATTTAGTAAGCACCTACCAAGTACCAAGCTACATACTTAGCTCTAATGTTCAAAACTGATCATGTCGCTCACTTGAGAATTATAATGGCTCCTCAGTTCCTATGGGGTAGATCCCATATACGTGGCACACCATTATGGCCATAGTCTGGACGCTATCTGTCTTTCCTCCTCCCCCCTGGCCATCTATATCCCACCACCAAGCTACCTTATTTCTGTAAAGGGTGGTGTTTCCCATCACCTCTTCCTGAAATGCCCTTTCCTCTCCATCTCCACCTGCTGGATTCCTTTTCTCCTGGTAACCCAGCTTTAGTCACCTGGTTAATGAAGCCTTCCCTGACTCTCCCACATAGATTACAGTGTTTCCCCAGACCACTTGGTTTATTCCCCTACTGTATAACTTAACATACGATGTTTTAATTATTTGTTTACGTGTCTATCTTCCCCCATAAGCTCCAAGTTCTCCTTAAAGAATAGGGACTATATCTTATTATCTTTGCACCGCTGGTGCCTAACTTAATGGGTAGCATATAGTCAGTGTTCATTTAATGTTAAGGAAAACATGAATTACGATAGATAACATTCATTTTTTTTAATGTTTATTTAGTTTTGAGAGAGGGAGACAGAGCACGAGCAGGGAAGGGGCAGAGAGAGATGGGGACACAGAATTTGAAGCAGGTTCCAGGCTCTGAGCTGTCAGCACAGAGCCCGACACAAGGCTTGAACCCATGAGCTATGGGATCATGACCCGAGCTGAAGTCTGACACTAATCGACTGAGCCACCCAGGTGCCCCACAATGGATAACATTGATTGCAAACTTACTCTCACCAGGGCTGTTCTAAGTGCTTTATTCATGTAATTCTCCTAAAACTCTATGAACGGGTACTGTTATTACACTCGTTTTACATATGGAGAGATCGAGGCACAGAGTGATTAATTAAGTTGTCCAAAGTTACTTGGCTTAACTCAGGCTAAGGCTACAGCTGTGTGCTTAGTATATCACAACTCTGCAAAAGACCTGCATCTGAGGGTATCAGAAGGAAGACACCCCCACTTCCTCGTCCAACATTCTATGCTTACGTGTAATTCTAGTAACAGAATAACTTCACACTCGTATTGCTGAGTATAATCAACTAAGACATTCATATCTTTTCCTTCCATTCTGTTTTTTGTTCCTAAATGCCCTAGTCCCTGGTACCTACCATTATAATCCTGCTGCTTTTTGTATTTGCTCATTTCTGTAATTCTGACACTTTTACAGCTTCAGGGAACCCAGAAATGGACTCTGTTCCTCTCTCTCTCTCTCTCTCTCTCTCTCTCTCTCTCTCTCTCCATGAGTATCAAATTCACAAAGGAAGAGACTAATTAAGATCTTCAATTCCTCCACATCCAACAGAGGATATCCCATTTTTCAATTAAAGATGACTGTTCTCTTGCCTCTAAGGATTTACATTCAGAAGGAAATGCTTTTGCATTAAATATATGTGAACGGTTTTCCACCTTACACTACTAAGTCTTTATTACCTGTGTTACTTTGGTTGCTTGTGTGTGTATTCATAGATTTGTTTATATTCACCTTGAATACTGTAACTATCTCCTGTATTTGCATAGAGCCCTCTATCCTGGAGTCCCTCCATCCACCGTTCTACATGGATCTTTGGTTTTCTATACCATAAGGGGCTTCTTTTTATGACATATCCTGGAGCTCAGTTCCTTGGAATGAAGATGACGACAAGATCTCTGTGGGTCCCACAAAGAAGCACAGTCTGACCAAGGAAAGTTCAGCTTCACTGTGACCTCATTCCCCATCTCCACAATGAGTAGAGAATCACCTAGATTTTAGGAGCAGCAGAGAAGTCACTATTCTGACCAGTAATGGGAACCTTCCTTCCTCCCTCCCTCCCTTCCTACCTTCCTTCCTTCCTTCCTTCCTTTCCTTTCCTTTCCTTTCATGTGCCCTTCTTCTTTTCCCATGGCTTCTCTGCCATGTCCTCTCCCCTTCCATTTTCTCTACTCCCATCTTGCTGCCTGTTTATTTTTAAAGCCTTACCTCCTAGGTCCTGATTGCATAGCTCATAAATATTCAACATTTCCTAGAAGCAACCTCTGAATGCTATTTCACCACTCAGTGTTGTTCCTTCATCTAATCAGAAATGGGGCTAGACTTTTCTCAGGGTCACCTGCCTCCACCCGAGCCCTGCACTTATCAATATGGGTGCCTTACTTTCCTCTACATGATCTTAATCATAAAGGGATTGCCCACTGAGACTTTGGAGCTCCTCACTGGCTCCAGTCTTGATAGGCTCTGAGACCCCTCTCTCTCAATGTGAGAATTCTCAAATATTCCATGATGAGAAGGTTTACCTATTCTAGGGTAATAACCCTGGCATAAGAAGAGAAGAAGGAAATACAGGAACAGATCTGGAGTTATGATAGGAGTAGAAAAATTACAAGCACTCTGCTTGACCCACAGAAGACATTTAGCAAATATTTTCATTGTGCTGAATGATTTCCTATATGCATATAAAAATGGAAAGAGGGGTGCCTGGGTGGCTCAATCAGTTGAGCATCCTGACTTCAGTTCAGGTAATGGACTCGTGGTTCATGGGTTTGGACCCCGTGTCAGACTCTGTGCTGACGGCTTTGGAGCCTGGAGCCTGCTTCAGATTCTGTGTCTCCCTCTCTCTGCCCCTCCCCCACTTGTGCTTTTTCTCTCTCTCTCTCTCTCCCCGCCAAAATAAATAAATAAACATTTTTAAAAATAGAAAGAAAAATAAACTGAAATATAAGCAATATTTGGTTAGGTGTGAGGGAATATCTACAATGTTTCCATCTTTTCTCCATTTAACAATATTTTGTTAATTAATAGTGGACAATATAAAAGTATCATTTTTAAAAAACAATTAATGTTTATTTATTTTTGAAGGAAAGAGAGACAGAGCGCAAGCAGGGGAGGGGCAGAGAGAAGGAGACACAGAATCTGAAGTAGGCTCCAGGCTCTGAGTTGTCAGCACAGAGTCCTATGTGGGGCTCGAACCCACAAGCCATGAGATCGTGACCTGAGCCAAATTCAGACGCCTACTGACTGAGCTACCCAGGTGCCCTTAAAATTATCATTTTTAAAGTGTTAAGTAGAGGAAGGAAGATAGGGAGGTTATGGGTCCAGGACTCTCCTCAGGACATAAAGCCCCTGCTTCAGTGGGCATGAATGTAGGAGCAGCCCAACCCAGGCAGCAGCCAATCTCAACTTTCCTCCACTGGTTTGGAAAAAGGCCCAGCAAAGCCACCACTCTCTTCATGGGGGAAAGGAGAGAACAGAGATGAGGGAATAGGACATAAATGCAAGGAATCCAAGAGTGGTAGGTCCCTTTGCAAATATCCTCCCCAAACCTCCCTCTGTGACATTTCAAACAGACCTTATCCAGCCTTGGCTTGAATCCTTCCAGAGACAGGGAGCTTAAAGGCTGGCAGGGAAGCCTAGTCCATGATGAGGCAGCTCCAACAAAGAGAACAGCTCTTGTCTGTGGATATCTGCTACAGACCTAGCTTTGTCTCTAGCTGAAGTATTGGTCAGGAAGTGGTTCGGAAGAGAAATGGGATCAAGGAACAGAGATGGAATCCAAGAATCAAAGGAAAAGAAATCTCTTGTTATGATTTTAATAACAGTTGAGACACTGGAGACTGAGGGCCAAGTTCCCCTTTTTAACATTGCCATGAGCCATCTCTGCCCAAAACCCACAAGAAGACCTAGATTGGCAGAGGTTGGGGACAGTGTGAACAGCAATGACTTGGGCCAGTGTCCAAAGAAGCAGCTTCATGGCCCCCTCTTGGGCCCTATTTTGGCACAGCTTAGGTTGGAGAGGGGAGTGAGGAAATATTCTATGGGACTATTTCAAAAGGCTAGGGCTGCTGTCAGAGGAAGCTGTAAAAGTGTGTGTGTGAGGGGGGAGGGTCGGTGTGGGGACAGGGCCCATGTGTTTTGGGCTCTATTAACTAACTCCCTCCCATCCATCACAGCCTCCCCCCGGGGCCGCTGCAGCCCTGGCAGCTGGGTCACCCCGGGGAGGCTGGGCTGGGGGTCCCTAAAGGGAGCCAGGCTTCAGGCAGAGGAGCGGAGACACATGTGTGCCTGGCTGGGTTGGGGCTGGCGCCTCATTGAGAAGGGGGCTCTCCAAGCTGGGCTTCATTAGGGCAGTGGCACTAATAGGGGAGGGGGTGCAGGGGGCTGGGCTGACAGCCAATTACTTGCTCGTCTGCATTATGGATTAACCCATCTGGGCCTGGGAGATTGGCTCTGAAAGGGGCACAAAAGGGGGGGCGTGACCACAATCACACACTGAATTATCCTGTCTGAGCGCAATTGTCCACCAACAAACGGGGCCTCAGGATGGGTGACCCCCTTGGGTTCTCTCCTTCCCCCACCCCTCACCCCACAAGAAGAGCCAGAGATAAACTGCTGCCTGGTTAAAAGGCAGGGTCTGGGACAAGGACAACAAGGATGCCGGTCCAGAGAGGCAGGCGATTTAGGGGAGGAGGCTGGGTTTGGGATGAAGTCAGAGAAGCCAGGAGCCAAGCAAAAGTGCTCCCAACAGACTTTTGTACTTCACTCCTCTACCTCGAGGGAAAGCGTGACCTAAGAAGTTCCCCCATCTGAAATATGGAACAGAACCAGAGAGTAAGGGTCTCAGCAGAGCCTAGGGAAAAGAATGAAAGGAAGGGCCCTCAGAGTCAGGTGTCTCACATCTCACCCATCACCTCTTCTAAGGCTAATTGATTCCAGACATGAATAAGGGGTCCTCAGATGGGGTCTTGGAGGACCCCTGCCCTGCTCTGGCATCTCTGATGCTCTCCCAGTGGGAGTGCCCGCACCCTCCCCCCACACCTCCTCCTCCAGGAGTAAGCCCAAGGAGCAGGGTGAAGGAGAGAAGAATGGGAGGGGGCAGCAGGCAGGGGGGCTCTCTCTGGCTAATCCCCTCATTACCATCTCATAATCAGAATCACGCTTTCAATGTAAATGGGGATGTTAAATATTGGTTTCTCTAGGCACAAGCTCCTTTGGAGAAAATTACTGATGCTCCCCTTTTGCCAGTGCTGGCCAGCTCCCACAGTGAGGGGGGTGGTGTGGAACATTAGCGAGGGCTGGGGGCTTCAGCGTCCAGTTGGTGGGGAAGGTGGAGGTGTCTGACAAGACAGGGCAGACAGATTTGGTTTTCGTTGGCCTGGGCAGCCTCCATTTCCGTGATTCAGCAGAAGAAACTCATCCAGAGGAAACTGGCTCGTTTCAAGCTCACCAAGACTTTGTTGGAGCTGGTTGGCTTCTGGTCTCACATCACTCTTGACTGGAAGAAATCAATATGGAGTTGCAGATCCCAAAGTCAGATTACTGGGGTAAGGGAGGTGTGTTCATCAGGGAGCTCAGGCGCTGTTGCCCATCGCTAGACCCGCCTGGCACACCCCAGGGGGAAGTGACCTGGACTCTCCTTCCAGCCATTTCCAGATACAGAGCACATCAAGTTACAAAGGCTTTTAAATGGAAAGCTTCGCGCCTGTCCTTTTACATCAGTCCCATGAAATAGGTATATGGCCGTTATCATTCCCAACTGGCAGGCTCGGCGTCCTCAAGCAACTCACTCAGGTTCACACGGATGGTCCATGGCAAAGTCATACTGTAACATAGTTCTTCTGAGTCCAGCCTCATTGTGCCACGCTCCAGCCTTTAAAACTGAGGCTACTGGCTACTGCTCGTATGCCACTTGTGGGGGCACAGAGGACACTTGGGGTGTCTGTAGTCTGACCATAGAAGTATGTGCCCAGAGGGGTAGGTACAGGGGGCTCATGCAGAGGCCATTTTCTGTTCTTCTCTATCAGCATGGTTAGGACACAAGGCCACAGACCGATGGAGAGGCCATCACACTGCCTGTCCTCTCTGTTCAGGATCTCCATCCCTCATTGCCTCCTCTCTACCCCAGGTTCAAAACTGGGAATGAAAGAACAGCTATTTATTATTTTTAATTATTTTTAATGTTTGTTTATTTTTGAGAGGGGGTGTGTGTGGAGGGGCAAAGACACACACACACAGAACGGGAAGTAGGCTCCAGGCTCTGAGCTGTCACCACAGAGCCCCATCCAGGGCTCGAACTGGTGAACTGCAAGATCATGACCTGAGCCCAAGTAGAAGGCAACTGAGCCACCCGGGTGCCCCAAGAATGAAAGAAAGTATTGTCAATATTAATAATGGTGGCTTCTTGGGGCGCCTGGGTGGCTCGGTCGGTTAAGCATCCGACTTCGGCTCAGGTCATGATCTCGCGGTCTGTGGGTTCGAGCCCCGCGTCGGGCTCTGTGCTGACAGCTCAGAGCCTGGAGCCTGTTTCAGATTCTGTGTCTCCCTCTCTCTGTGACCCTCCCCCGTTCTTGCTCTGTCTCTCTCTGTCTCAAAAATAAATAAACGTTAAAAAAAAAATTTAAAAAAAAATAATGGTGGCTTCTTCTCAGGTTTTCTTAGCATTTTACAGTTCACAAAGTCCTTTCCGTGTGTTATATGATTAGATTCTTGTAACCACCTCATGACCTAGCACCGTTGCTTAATGCTTAAGGACACAGGTTCTAGAGTCCCACTGTGGGTTTACTACCCAGGCCTTCGTAGCTGGGTCATCCCAAGCAGGTAGCTAGGTGACCTCAGGTAGGTTATGTCCCATTCCCTGCCTCAATGTCCTTATCTATGGAATACAGATGATAACAACAGCCTACTTCCTAGAGTTGCTGGGGACAATAAAAGAGATTACAGGGGCACCTGGGTGGCTCAGTTGGTTGGGCAACCAAGATTTCGGCTCAGGTCATGATGTCACAGTTTGTGATGTCCCAGCCCTGCTTCAGGCTCTATGCTGACAGCTCAGAGCCTGAAGCCTGCTTCAGATTCTGTGTCTCCCCCTCTCTCTACGCCTCCCCTGCTCACGCTCTGTGTCTCTCTGTCTCTCAGTAATAAATAAACATTAGAAAAAATTTTTAAAAGAGATTACACATGCCACCCGCTTAGGGTCTGGCATATACTAGGTTCTCAGTCAGGGTTAGCCAGTTTGAAGGGGGTAATAAGGAGTATGACCCAATTTTACAGATGCAGAGACTGAGGCTCAGATTACCAGGAATTTGTTTAAGGTTACTCAGTTGATAACGACAGAGCTGATTTTTAATTCCAGGTGGGAATGGAATCTGCAGGTGGTCTGGGACTCCTACCCAAACGTTCCTCAAGGTGAAGAGAAAGGGGCGGTCGATCTTCTGGGGTCCTTTGTTGTGTTGTGGCTGGCAAGGACAGGTTCTTTTTCTGTTTAGCCAGGTTAGGCACACGCGGAGGAAGGAGAAGCGAGTCCCCCACTGTGGCCAGCTTGCGCCGGCAGCGACCCCTCCTCTCCCCGGCCGGAGGCGGTGAATGGAGCCAGGGGCACCATGTGGCTTGCGCTAAGCCTCTCCTGAAAAGAGAGGGCGGGAGATGCCTTCGGAGGGCCCCCTCCGGGGCCTCGGAGATGGCTTCCGCTGCTCAGCTCCCTCCGTTTAGCTTTCTCCTCATTAACTCCCCGGCCTCATTAATCAGCCCCGATGAAATGCGCCCCCGGGAACACTGCCGGCCAGCTCCGCCGTTTGGCGCTTTAATTATCCTCCCAGCGGGAGGAGGCGGGGTGGGCGAGGTGCTCGGGCGGACGGACGGACGCGCGCGCGCGCGCGCACACACACACACACACACACACACACACACACACACACACACACACAC